TGCCCAATCTGCCCCTTGGGTGTGTCATCCTTGGAGGTGACTGGGTGATACTCAAGCTCATTTTGAATCTGGCCAGCAATAGCCCTCTCACTGGTTTAAGCTGAGATATTAGGGCCTTGCGAAGTTTCCAGGAAAACAGAGACCCCGGGTTGGAGGCCCTCTGCAGAGGTTGTACACACATCACCCTTGCCCGGGTGGGCTCTTGCAGGTGAGCACCACCACTGAGTGCCAGAGAGGTCTCCTGGGCTGGGCACCTACTCCTCAGCATCCTTAGCGTCATGCAGGCACAGCTGACTAGTCGTATCTCATGTCACTTGCTCTGCTCTGTCTGCAGGTGAGACTGGGAAGGTCTCTGGCTTCCACCATGGGAGGTGCAAGTTCATTAGGCAGAGAATTCTCCAAACGTAGGACGATGCATCCATGGTATGGAAAAACCAAATTGAATGGATGACATGAATTCTCCATAGCCTACCCCTTTACTTACTTAACTTCCTCAAGCACACTTCTTCCATGCTTAAACTTACAAACAACGGAACCCACTAGCAAAACAAGAGGTGTTTCTCAAAGAAAATAGTTACTTGTGAGAAGAATTCATGGCTTTGCTCCAAAACTTGGGGCTTTCTGCCATTCTCTGGCCATGTTGCTCACATATTTATTTATTGCTTGCTAGAGCTCCCCTCTCGCTGAGTGCTTTGAGGACAGGGATCTTGTTCATCTCTATAGCTTCAGTACGTAGAACCTGGCACATCAAGGTGCCCATAAATGTTAAGTTAATGAATTGTGCCCATGGTGGCCCTCTAACGTTGAATACGGCTGAGCTATGTGTCTAGTAGGACACTGCAGAAATGACAGCGTGTGACTTTCAAACCTCAGTTCCCATGGCTAACTGCCTCATTTTGGAGCTGTTGCCAATTTCAGATTCTAGAAAGGAGGAATCTCACTGGCTCATCTTATCTGTTTGTACCAAGACATAAGTTGTCAGGAAGCCTATGAATTGGAGGTTCTGAGAGGAGATGTCAGCCCATGTTAGTCAACTAGAAGGGGCTATGGCATCCCCTGTGGTTGGCATGTCTAGTACAATGGGGGCACATTTTACCTGAGGATTGGATTCTAAGATATCTATGTAAGAATTTATTCCATATAGTCAGGGTTCCTCATGAAAATCCCTACATTACCCATAAATTTCTCTACCATATAGTACCATCTATCAAAATTTCAGTTCAGCCAATTTTCCTTTCCAAGTGGGAACAGGTGGCTGTTTCTTTGGCTGAGCAGCAGATGAATTAGTTGGTTTGCCTTATGGATCTTGTATGAAAAACACATATCTTCCAGCATTAGAGTCACACTCCTCACAATGAGATGCTCAGAATATAAGAGGCATGTTGGACCCTAAACCCACAGAGAACCACAGGTCCCCATCACATCTTCCACACCAAGTAGAAAGGGAGACGGCATCTACGGCAGTGTTTAAATGGTCCTCTTCTCCCTCCCCTCCTTCTCTCTTTCCTCTCTTTCCTCCATTTTGAACACATATATACTGCAAGGTTTAGTGATTTTTAAAAATCCACTTGTTCTTACTGGATTGAGAAATGAATTGCAAGGAATTCTGCATATAAGAGGAAGAAATTAAACTGATCCCAGTGAGAAAGCTCTGAGCAAAAAAGTAAAAACAGAAAGCAGTGCAATTATGTCAATAATCCTATTCTCTGCAAAGATCTCTCACATGAAATGAAAGAAGATTTTAGGAAACAGCTATTCCTTATTCTTAGGGCGATTAGACAAGGACAGTGCAGGGGAACCAGGTACCCTGTCACATTAGCTTGTCACTGGAAGATGTGATTAATAGGATTATAGGAGATTGGATTATTAAACAGAAGACAGAAAAGAGGAACCTAGGACCACCTGGGAGGGGACCTACTGCAGTTCAAGTTCAGCCACAGCCCGTGCCCCATTTGGGGCTACCAGCATGAGCCACAAAGAAATCCAGAGATGCCTACTGCTTATGTTGTGCTTGGAAGTGCCTTGAGAGGCCAAGCCAAGAACCAAGGCCAGCTGCCCCTAGTGCTGGGCTTATAGTTGCTCAGCCAGAGGTACAGGACATGCTCAAGCCAGATGCTGCTTGTCTGGGTTCCAGAAACCTTTGAGAGACCCTAGGAAAGTCTGAAGCATGAGCCAAGGCAGGCGATTTTTATGAAAAAGCCACTGAAAGAGGCTTGGATGTGCCCACAAGTTGGGTAGGGTGGGGTCTCGAATCACCCGGGCGTGGTGAATGAATGGTGTTAGCCAGCTTGATGGAAACTCACATATGGTGGTGGCCTGTGTCTGCACACTGGGAAGAGGGAAGGTTCAACAAATAAACAATGGCTTTCACCAGCGTCAACATCTGGGCGAAAGCTGCCTCTCCAGTCCCCATTCTGTAGATAGATAACTCAGTTGCCTACCATATGTCCCTGTCACCTGTCCAGCTGCTGCCCCAGTGCTGGAGCTCAGAGCCAGTGGTTCTGTTGGTTGTTAAGTCCTTGTGTGGCTCCTTTAAGAGGAGCAGCTGGAACTCTAGCCACCCTCCATCTTACTCAGCCACAATCTCCAATGGTTTTCACAACCAGGAGTTATGGGGACTTCTCCCCCTTGGCACTGTAACCCCGGATTGGGGAAGGGCTGGGACCCTTTGCTTCTCTGGGGGAACCTCCCCAGCTGAGATATTCCTCCCAATTTTTAATGATCACTTGTGGGTATGGAACTAGCCTGTTCCACGTCTCTGTCCCTTTTACCAATCTCGAGATGTTTCTTCTGTATGTCCTTAGTTTTAGGGCTTTGGTTCAGCAAGATTCTGTGCAATTCTCTTTGATAGTTGTTTTGTAGTTTGGTTGTAATTTTGATGTGGTCGTGAGAGAAGGTAATAACAGCATTTACCTACTCTGCCATCTTGATTGGAAATCTCAGTCATAATCTTTACCAACCAAAATGTTATTATGTGGCACATGACTGTATTCCCACCCTTGAACTGGGCACTCGCCCTAAGAAAATCCCATCCTCCACCCAATTAAGAAATATGTTCCATGCAGTATGATTTGTAATATCAAAACCTGGGAAGCCACCCAAAGGCCTGAACATAGAGGAGACCGAGCACATTTTCAGGTGAAGCCATGAAAAACAGTTTATTTGTGACCTGCCGGGAGACAGGGCACAGTGGAATGGAAATACCAGTCCATGGAATGGATTCTGTGACACAACTGATTGTAATGGTTTATGTGCATAAAGGTTTAAAGGACAATTACCTGAGAAGATTTGGAAGTGATGCTGAGTTTACAAATAAAAAAGGACCCCATGACCTTTAAAATTATATAAATTCACAAAGAAACACCAAGCTCCACTGAATGAAACCCCAGAGAATATCTGTCAGGGTGATTGACAATGCCTAAATGATGCCCTTTCCCCTTGTACAGGCCTATGGGGATCCATTGACTCTAACTTTAGGTTCTACAGAACTGGGGTTTTCATATCAACCTTTTTTAATTTACACTCCATCCCATCAGCTTCTTCAGTGTCCCCTGTTTTCTGTCTTGTTTTGGTTTACTTTTGCAATACATTCTAAAAGCATCCCTTCTGCTAAGTAGCAGGAGGCCCTGTTAGAGATTAAGTCACACTTGGTTTCTGTAGTAGTGAGAGAGGTTCCTGGGTCATGGTTTGGAAGTTGATGCAGGGAAGGTATGCCCTCCACCCCTACACACACACAAGGTTAGGAGCAGGCCTTTCATATTTTGAGGATCTGGGCCTATCAGCAGAGTTGAAAATTGTCTTTACCCAGATGTGGATTCAGGGAAAGAAAGAGGGCTGTCATCTGAACCATCAGGGATGGGGGCCCAATCAAATACCAATATTGAAAATTTGGTCTGGCTACAGCTCTGGCAGATGGGCTGTGTGTGAGCTGACGGAGGTGAGGACTAGAAGCCATGTCACTGGGAACCCAAGAAAGATGGAGTATTGCCTGAGCTCAGAACAGAGGATTCTGTTGCCCTTGAAGGACTGTGAGAGCCTGCATCCTAGCAGTAGCAGCAGCAGCAGCAGTGAAGCCTTAGGCACCTGTTTCCTGTCCTCAGGAGTGGGAGTCAGAGAATCCCCTTCTTGGGCCACATAAACCTCCCAGCAGAGAAGGGCTTTCCCTAGATGTACTGGACTGCCTGGGTCTGGCAGGAGATTGGGGTGGGGGAAGTGGTGGTGGTGAGGGTATGGTTTTAAATTAACTGAAGGAAATAAGTTAAGTGTCCAGATGTACAGCTCAAGCATTGCAGAGCAATTCATTATGGTTCCTGGAACTATGAGAAAGAATGGCTCAGTGTTTCAGAAGCTGAATTTGCCCTCATATCTGAGCCTTCATAGAATTCAAGAATTAAAGATGCTCTGCAGACTGGTAACGTTTCACCCTAAGATTCCAGATCCCACTCACCTTGTTGGATGATCTCATTTCTGCCTCAGCTGCTCCTGTCTGTAGAATTTCTTGCTGGCTATTGGAGGCTGTATTCTCTCCAACCCTTACTAGGAATCTGGGATGACAAAGGGTTTGTCTTAGAAGGCAGCCTCTGAAATTTTCAAAGAAAATATACATGGGATCTATGGCATGAGAATCTAAAGTGAAAAATGTAAAGATATAAAGAAATTTAAAAAGCTAAGAACTTCACAAAAACATTCTGATTACAAATGAACTTTTTAATATTTTTCAAGAAGCCCACCAGAAATCACACTTTTGTTTGTGAAATCTGGCAATGCTCACTAAAAGCCGTGTTTCTTTACTTCTAGCTGGAGTTGATTCAGAAAGGTTAGAGGTGCCCCAGGAGCTGCACCCCTCTCCTTTGACTGTGATGGCTGGCATTCATATGTAACTCTTTGTTTTCTGTCTCTTCCCAGTTCTTGGCCCAGTTGATGGTGTTTCTCATCAATTTTATAAGCTCTGTGTTCTGTGGCCACCTGGGGAAGCTGGAATTGGATGCCGTCACACTTGCAATTGCAGTACGTATAGGACTTTTAAACACGGATTTATCCATCTGTATTAGTTTACTCTTACTGGAATTACCACAGTTTAGTGGCTTAAACAACACAAATGTATTATCTTACAGTGCCGGAAGTCAGAGTCTGATATGAATTTCACTGAGCTAAAATCAAGGTGTTGGGAGGGCTGCAATCTTAGTTCTCCTTTGTCACTTAACCTCACATATTCCCGTGTTCTGGGGGTTAGAACAGGAACATCTTTGAGGGGCTATTATTCTGTCTACCAGATCAGATAATTTGTAATCCATGCAGATCTGGCTCACATTCTTGGTCCCACACCTGGAAGAAAGGAATTGGAAAAAAGGGGTTAAACTCTTACTTTAGGAAAAACTGTGACTCCCCCTCCCCCCACCTCCATGACTTGTCTGTCTCACTAAGAGTCCTAATCCAGAAATTAAACTTGAAGATGAAATCCTGTATCCTAATAGCTGAACCCCAAATCCGGAAGAACCCCAAATAAATCCTCTCTGTATCACACTTCCAAAACTAGAGACTTATGTCATTGACTTCTGCCAGGGGTTAACTGGCTCTGCATGGCCAAAGGGCCCTGCCAACTCATTTGGTTCTGTTAGCTAGGTGTTTCTAGAAAAAATGGATTCAGCGGCTTTCAGCAGGTGTGTTCCTGTTCTCCTCAGCCTCCCCAGCTCCCCTTTGCTCCTGCTCTGACAAGGCACACATTCACCTTACCTGCCTGCTACCTCCAGGCATTTGAGTTGTTATCTCTCAACTGTGCAAGACTATTCTGAATGAGTCCCCAGGTATATACAGATTATTTTGCTTTTAGGAGGCAACATGGACAAACCCAGGCTTGATTATTTCTTTTGGTTTTTTATGTTTGGAAATTTGAGGGGAGACAGAAATGCACTCAGCTAGCCTCCAACAGATTCTCCTTGGCCAAAGAAGTGCAAGAAAGCTGGAGCTTCTAGACTGCACCCCCTGTGGGCTGTTGTCCCTGAGTACATCCTGCAGACTCAGGTGGAGGTAGCAGGTTCCATAACAGACAGGGAGAGCATCAGATGTCCTGCCATGCCACTCCCTGATTTTCGGGATGATGCCCTGGGCTCTTCAAAGCTCCAAGAATCCTAGGGTTGCTGATTTCCTTTAGGAAGGATTTATGTTCCTCTGACACTGAAGAACAAAATCTTAAGATTTATAACAGAAAAAGGCTAGGTAATGACCCATGGCCTATATTTTTCTTCCCTCTCTAAATGTGTGCAAGCTGGCTCAATCAATTTATGTAGGGCCTCCATCCATGCAGATAATAGAGTTGATTAAGTTGACTGTTAGGGTTGGCAGAGGCACCCTGTAGGCTCTGATCAGTGCAGGGAATTTGCCTTCCTATCTTTCTTCAACTCTGAGTGGCCTCTCCTTTGCATTTATTTCCAGGTTATCAATGTCACTGGTATCTCAGTGGGATTTGGCCTATCTTCTGCTTGTGACACCCTCATGTCTCAGGTAAATGAAAGCCCCAGGTCACTCTCACAGTGACCCTGAATATCTCTCGAGTGTAGTTGGAAGAACCCCACTGGCAGGTAGAGTCGTGTACACAAAGGGAGAAAATAAACAGCAAATCTTGCAGCATTTTGTCAGCCATCAATTCCAGTTCTCTTTGCCTGCTTTCTTTGAAATGTGGCTGGATGTCTCTCAGGCTTGTGGAGTAGTGTTTATCTTCATGACTGCCTTATACTACATTTTTACCAAATAGGGGACATTTTTGTAAAAGTCCCTTCTATCATTTTCCACACCATTGCATTTGGTATGTTCCCATGGTTCTCAAACTTTAGTATGCATCAGTCAACTAAGGGCTTGTTAAAACACAGTGGGCCCTACCCAGAGGCATGTTGGTAAATGCTGAATGACCAGGTCTTGGGTGGGGAAGTGTTATGTAAAATTTCCCAGGGCTGAAAGATGAAAGAGAGGCTGACAACTCCCTCATTACATCAAGTGTTATATTAAGGGAACTTACAAAGGAAGCACATCTTGGGTGTTGGCAAGACGACATGGATATCCTCCATATCACATGGCAGGCGTTAAGCGGTTATATATGACAGGGCAGGATGGATAGGGATATTGGGGTATGACCCACCCCAGGTAAGGGGAAAACACTTTACATGCTTGTCCAAGGCAGGACAATGGCCTGTTTTAGGAACCAAAACAAACCAGCAGCTATGGGACATGGGGAAGGGGTCGATCAGATAGTCTCTCAGGGAATTTAGGGCAAATAGTCTCTTATCTGTCCAAGATCTAGCTGGTGGGTCTGGCAGTGATCAGGCAGCAGTGACATCATGAAGTAGCCTCTCCTCCACATTCTACCCCTTGTGACCAGCTTTCACCATCTCACGTGCCCCCTCTTTCACGAGGTGCCATGAGTGATCAGTGAGGGGCTTCATTAGCAGGGTGGTAGCTCACTTAGTTGCCAATTGAGCACATTAGGAACATAGTCCACAGCAACAATATAGACGCATGCAAGAAAAAGAAAAAATTAAAAGAAGGACTTCAACGGTTAGTAACAATTTTTTCCATCGTGTCCCTTGGGATCTGAACTAGTCAGTATGCTAGGTCACTTAGAGTTGGGGGTGGGTCACTTAGGGCACTTACTTGAATTTTCATGTGTTAACAAAGAAGAAATATTAGCAGATTCATTCGGTATAAAAAAACAGAGCATTCAGTTTGGGTGCCTCCCCTCCCCTACCTCCCTCCACCCCCCATAACCACTGGATGCCATAGGAACAGCAGAAGTCTGAGGTAAGAAAGACAAATATTGAGTAGGGACTTGAATTGGGAACATTCTTCTATGAGAATTACACTCGAACCCTGGTATTTGGATGTTAATGTGGTCCCAGCCTTGGTAATCTGGCCAGGCTGTGTAAACCATATATATTGGCCAGGGGAGGTGATGCTCTCTGGTGTAAGAAGGAGTAGGAGGGAGACTATGCCAGACCAGGACCCCTATAATCGCCCCTTTTTCAATGGATCATGTACCAGTCCACGCATAGTGTGTCTCCATGGGTCCCAACTGCATTAGGATGACAGGGACCCACAGGAGACTGAGCAGCTCTTCCCCATCCAGGGACGTGAAGTAACTGACCCACCTGGCAGAACATCCCATTGCGGTTTCCAGTCAATCATCTCTGTTCCAGGGACAATAGGGCTTGGTGCCCTCATTATCATGGCCCACTGGTCCATGGCAATCATTGGCACTGTTGCTGTGTCCTTTGTTTTACACACCTTTACTGTATTGGGTGCCTCAGTCTGAGTTCCTAACCTGGCATATGGGACAATGGGCCCCCACACATTGGTTATTGAAGTGTATTAAATAACACAACTGGCCAACATATATTTTCCAGCTAGTAATTTTATCTGCTGCTTAAAGACATCATTTTTCTCTTCTACCATTTTTCTGTTCTGTTATAGGGGAGGTGAAACCTCCATTCAATATCATGTTCTGCACTTCTTGTATATCACGTCCTCTGAAACGTGACCGCCAGTCACTATCTATTTGATGGAGGTACCCATACATAATATTTAGCTTTTCTCGTCCCTTTATGGTAGCAGCCTGATTAGCCCACCAACATGGGAAGGCCTGAGTTAAGCCAGAGGCAGTGTTGACACATACCAGAGCATATTTGGAGCTCTCACTCAAGTAAACAGGGCCTGTGTAGTCAAGTTTCCGGTCCCTCACCAGTTGGAGGCTTTGGTGAACAGCTAGACTCGAACCAGGGCCTTTGCTAACTCCACAGCCACTGCCCTTAGCTTAAGCTCCAGCATCTCCTCCTTAGCTATGTGCCATCTGACTTGGAGACTAGGGGTCCATTTTCCCAGTGTATCCAGTCTGCAGTGTCCACTGATGGGTCAGTTGCTAAGTGGGTATTTTTGACAAGGCATCTGCTTCCTGATTACCTGGAGGTATAGATGCCTGTGGGCAGGGACTTGGAAAACAAGATCTGTCTCTGGCTTTTGCAACTGAGCTGAATATCTTTCCACATCTCTTGTCCCCATAAAGGTTTGCTCATCATCACTCACCCCCCTGCCTCCCACTGTCCAAGCCACAGAGCCAATCCTTTTACATTGACCCAACTGTCAGTACACAGGGTCAGTGGCCAAGGTTCATGCATGATTACCAACCACACCACTCTTAACTCAGGACATTGGCTACTGTGATCTGTTCCTGTTTCCCTTCAGATAGTGTCAGTGGACAGCTGAATGGCTGGCCACCCAGGTACGCAGAATGCCCTGGCTAGACCCATCGATGGCTCTACTTGAACGTGACTAGAGCCATCAGGCTCCAGCCAGAATTTCCCTTGTTCTTTTTTTGTAGGGACTGACACAGGGATAGGAGCAAGAGCATTTGGAGGGTCTGTATATTCAAAAGGGCCCAATAGTTGCTGCATCTCTAGAGACAGGGCTATTTTATAGGGTGCTACTCTGCTGTAATAGGCATGCTATGTAGTCAGTGCAAGAGTCTGAACCGTAGCAGAGCTCCTTGTTGTAGACAACAAGGGGTGGTTGTCTAGCCACCCCTTGATGGGATGGGACATTCTTGCTGTAATTGGCTGTTCTATCGGAGTCTATCTGATCTCTGTCCCCTTTCACAGTTGGGACCAAACTCCAAGGGGCACTCTTCCCTTTTGCTGTTTTTGCCATAATGCCCATCCCACACCTTCCACAGTAACTGAAACATCTAATTTAGATGGCAGCCCCACCTGTGAGATTCCAGAAGGTTCAATCTGTTTGACCAGCATTTTTGCTTTCTCAAAGGCAGCCTGTTGTTCTGTTCCCCAGTCCCATATATGTCCCTTTTTAAGTAGGTGATATAATGGGTGAGGACATTGTGCTAAATGGGGTATAAAAGTTCAGCAATACTCCAAAATTCCCATAGAAGACTATACCTCTTTTATATTTTTTGGTATGAGGTAGGCTTGTACTTTGTCTGTGACAGCCTTGGGGACAATGCAGGCCTTACCCAACCATATGAATCCCAAAAATGTTATTGCGATGCCCAGACCTTGAATTTTCTGTGGAGTCACTGCCCATCCTCTCTGCTGTAGGTGGTTCAGCAAAGTCTGCAAGGTTTTCTGCAGCAGAGGCAAATATTCCCAGGTTAACATTGTGTCATCAATATAATAAGTGCATTTCACAAAGGTTGGGAAGGAAAATAGTGACAGGTCTCAAGCCACTATCCCATGGCATATGGGGCTATGTGAATAGCCTTGAGAGAGCACTTGGAAGGTATATCCCAAGTGAGAAACACATTTTTAAACAGTTTCTTTGTTACTGTGAGGGCATTAGCCTTGCAGTAGGGGAAAGCTTCAACCCATTCAGAAAATACACAGCAACGAGAACATATTGATAACCCATACTAAGTGGCAGTGGAAAGAAGTCCAGCTTAAAGGCACTATGATGTATGAAGGAATGCAAAAAATGAAAAATGGGGTTTGCCAGGGAACAGAGAAGAAGGAAGCAGCTGTCTTGGGTTTCCCATAGCTCCGACTACTCGTTTAATTTACAGCCATTGTTTACCCATCTTAATTTCTCCAATTCAGGAGCAGACTGTTGCCATGTTTACAAGGACTTCTGGATGGCAAAAACCTGGCAATGAGGACTCATTATTGCAGAAACAGAATGGACTTCATCCACATATGCCACAATCTGACATTCAGATTTAGTCCTTTTAGTGTGCACCTCAATTTTGATGACAGACATCTTATGTGAGGACATCTCAGGATTCTCAAGAATTTCACACAATTTCTGGAACTCTTATAACATATACAAATACAAAATAAAGATGGCTCAATGTTATCTTTTTGATACTGTTTCCCGTGTAATTTCAACACATCAAATAAGTCTAATTAGTTTAATATTTCTTTTATAAAGCCATTTCAAGAAAAAGACTACATATCAAGAGTAAGCTGACACAAAATTAAATTCATGTAGTTGATTAATTCAGCTTAACCACACAAAATTTCTTTTCTCAAAATTACTTTTCACAAACCTCCTATAACTTTCATTTTTAAAATTCAGATTTTGTCCTGTTTTTCCTCTTTCCTATTCTGAAACAACCAGCCTCACTTTAGGACAAAATTCCTTTTCCTCAAAAATATATTTCCATACCTTATACTTTCTTTAACTGAAACCATATATTATTTTCCTTTCATTTAATCAGAATTCTTAACCTCTAGATATAATTCAAAAACATGTCTTTTTTACGTAAGCCGAGAAACTGAAAATAGCTTTTATTTATTAAATATTAATCTTAGATCACATGAATTTGAAAAGCATTTGGGTTAGTTTCTATGTTTCTGAGAATTTTAGAGTAGCTAATCCTTACAAGTGCTTGTTTGTTTTTTAAGCCAATTAAACATAGCTCATTTACAAATTAGCAATACTATCAGAGGGAGAAAATGCTCCATATCTACAACACATATGTATAGACACACATGAACATATAAACTGACACAAGCAGAGACCTGGTGACCTCTATAAAAGAAGCGGGATCTGTTCAAAGGACCTTTCCTTCCCCCCACCTTTATCATCCAGTCCCATGCTAAAGGGGTTGTGGACATTCTAATATCTTTTTCTAGTTTCAGTTCATCCTCTAATTTCCTCACTCTGGCTTCTGCCTCTAGCTGGGTGTCAGTGGCCAGCCAAACTGCCCGTTAGAGGGGCAAGGCCACAGCTGCAGCCATGTGCTTTCCTTCCTTGCCACAGTGTGTAATGTACATTTCTTCAAACAAAAGCACAAGATCAGCTGGCATTTTCAGGGCATCCCCATACTCACATGACAGTCCACACAAATCCAGCATATGGGCCACTTGAAGGTCACGGCCAACCCAGGATTTCCCCTGTGGATACCTTTTTCCCAAAGCCCATTTCTTGGGTCTCCTGGCTAGCTCACCAATTATTACATGTGAAATTTCCCAGGGCTGAGAGACCAAAGAAAGAGGCTGACAACTCCATAATTACATCAAGTTTATTAAGGGAACTTACAAATGAGGTGCATCTTGGGCAGTAGCAAGATGACATGGCAGTGTCATCACACCACATGGCAGTTGCTAAGAAGTTATATAGGACAGGGCAAGATCGGGGTACTGGGGTATGACCCACCCCAGATAAGGGGGAAATACCCTGCATGCTTACCTGGGGCATGGGGAGGGGTCAATCAGACAGTCTTTGAGGGGATTTTCAGGAAGCAATCTCTTTCTAGCCAGGATCTAGCTGGCAGGTCAGGCAGCAGTCAGGCAGTGGTCACATCATGGCATAGTTTCTCCTCCACAGGAAGGGAAACGTTCTGACTTGTACTGTGAGCTGATTCCAGTGGTGTAAGTAACTCCCTCTGTAGCTAATATCAGGCTACCACACATGTCATTAAGCAGGGACCTGAGAAGAGACATGCACAGTTTGGCTTTGGTAAGCCAATAGCAGCTGGCTCCAGCATGCCACTGGCGCTACCTCCCCCCTGCCCCCCACCCCCCGAGTTTCTGCCTAGTAGGTCTAGGGTGAGGCACATGATATTGCATTTCTAACAAGTTTCCAGGTGATGCAACCCTGACTAAACATTAGAATCACATGAGGACTTTTAAAAATTCTTGATACTTGGGTTCTGCCCTGGACTAGTTAAATCCAGATTATCTTTAGTGGGACTCTAGCATCAATGTTTTAAAATTGTTCCCAGGTGATTCTAATGGACAGCCAAGTTTAAGAACTACTAACTCTCAAAGAATGTGGCAAAGTCTCTAGGGCCATTTGTCTCTTTAAGAGGAAAAATGGAAGGCCTTTGTGGGAGTAATGGGGTGCCATTTCTGTGCTAATGGATTTGTTTTGACTGTGTGCACCCAGACATATGGTAGCCCTAACAAGAAGTACATGGGGGTCATCCTGCAGAGGAGCTTGCTGGTGCTGCTTCTCTGCTGCTTCCCCTGCTGGGCGCTCTTCCTCAACACTGAGCAGATCCTGCTGCTTTTCAGGCAAGACCCAGATGTGTCCAGGTAAGATGGGCCATGCCATGGTGGGATTGGGTCTATCCCAGCACAAAAATGCTCCAATCCAGGTTCAGCCTTTGGGAATTACAAAGGGCAGGGACAAGGCCACACACCAAGAGGGGTTTAAACTCACCTCAGCTAACTTCTACCAGGCCTTAGAGCTTTCCACACCTGGTATCTAAGAACTAGACCCTCTCCTTGTCTGGGTTACTTCAAGGGTAAATAGTGTTGAGTGAAAATGGATTTGCAAATATCCGCCATGTGAGACTGTTGTTTATTCATGGTTTTGTGATTATTGACCCTGGTTGATATAAAAAGCACCTCGGTGCTTTTAAAACCCACCCCTGCCTGGCCCCCCTTCCCTCCCAGCATTCTGGTTTAAATGGTCTGGGGTCCAGCCTGGGCATCAGTGTATTTCAAATGTCCCCTATATGATTCTAATGTCCCACCAGGTTTAAGACCCGCTTTTTTAGCCAGTAAAAATTTATTTTAAAAGTCATTGTCAAAGCAGTTATGAAGCCAGGGGACACTTGGCAGTGTTGGGAGACAGTTTTGGTTATCAGAACTGGTATTGGGGTGTCACTAATCACAGAAGCCAGAGATGCTATAAACCATCTTAGGATACAGGATAGCTCCCCACAGCAGAGAATTACCCAATTATGCTGCCAAGTTTGAAAAATTGTGTTTTAGACTTAAAGACATGGAGGAACCAAGAGAGATAATTTGAGTTATAAGATGGCAAGCTCTACTGTAAATTTTCACATTTGCTCTAGTAGTTTAAACCCACTAATTTAGAAAGAGCCATGAATGTGAAAGGCAGTTATAGCAATTTATCCTGCCTTCCTTTCCCTTGAAATGAAGACCTCCATCACTTTTTTTTTCTTTTCATTGTATAGGCTTACCCATACCTATGTCATGATCTTCATTCCAGCTCTTCCTGTAAGTTTTCAAGGGTTAAGAGGTTCCTTTCTTTCTTTCTTTCTTTTTTTTTTTCTCTAGCACCATCCATTTTCAGGGCTAGTTGATTCTGCAGGTGAGTTGTTATACACTCCTCAGTGGATTCTGACTTCCATGGCCACCGTCCGGTTCCTTTCTTGAGGTTCACTGGTGAAACGCAGATGAGATACCCATGACCTCAATGGATTCCCACTTGTGACATTGGCTCATTTAAGGAAGTGCAGTTTTAATTATGCCCATGAAAGATGCAAAGCTTCATCTCTCAAGAAACACCAAGGTTAAGGCAACTCCAACAGGCCACTGCCCTGAGCTCGTATAGCTGGAGGGACCTCCAGGATCATCCACGGGGAGAACTTCAAACTGTTTTTTGTATAGGGGTAAATTCTTTCCCATCTCAGAACACCTGAGGGCCTCATTCTGAACCTTTAGACATTTTTTGCTTGCTGAATGCGGTCACACAGAAACACAGAGTGTGTTGATGTTTGACGCAGTCATGCATGGTCAGTGAAAATCTAAGCTAATTTTATTCAGTTGGACAGAGTAGCTGTATAGTTATGCACCGCGTAATGATGTTTTGGTCAATTATGGACAGATCGTATCTAAGACGGTGGTTCCATAAGAGTTTAATGGAGCTTGTGAGGGAGGAACAAACTTTCCTCTACACTCAAAGTTCTTCTGGCTGGACTAATAATCAAATAGACATAGGACAGATTAGCAAGAGAAAATAACCAAATTTCATACATACACATGTATGGAAACCCCACATACATGCGAGAGTCAGAGACCCCACATGTAGAAGAGGTTCAGAGATAGAAAGGGGGTCATTGCCAGATGACAAGAAGAGCAGATGTTTAGTATTGATAAATAAGTTTTCTCTGCCATATGGGTGGGTCAAAAAGGTTATCACTGATAATCTCTTATTAAGGGCAAGACCCCTTAATTCAAGTTTTTCTAGGTAGTTAAAGGGAGGGGCAGAAGTCTCTCTTGAGCCTGAGCCTAAAATTGCCTTTAGCTCAAGACAATCTGTCTTGAGGCACTGAGGCACATCTTTGTGTGGTTCAGTCTGAACTCCCAGAGTTCCCTCCTCTGAAACTTGCCTTGACATTTGGCTTCCAAAGTCCATCTTAATCCCTTAAAGCTTTCTGGTCATATCTGAGTCCATGCATGCTCTTCTCTAACATGACATTCCAGTCAAACCTTGGTGATAAAACCAGTTTCTAATTATGTCCTGTTATAAAGAGGACAAATTCTTATTGGATTTATGCAAATAAACATATTGCCATGAAAATAAAAATACTCACTCATTGAGTTTCCAAATTCTGGAGGAATCAGGTACAGAGAAAAAAGATAAACATTTCAATTCTGCTTACAGAGGTGTAATTTACCAAACTGCTGTAAGTCATATTTAGCTTCAGAGAAAGAGAAAAAAATTCCTTATATCTAGAAAAGCAAAGATTTAAAAAATCAGCAATATTTAAAATAAAAAGTCATAAAATTGTAATCCTATTCATCAGTTCATTCAGTTCTGTGGAATTAAACTTGTTCTGCATGAATCCAGTTTTTCCATTAGTTCTCTCAACCTTGCGTGATAATTAAGGGTGATAGGGTCAGTGATAATTCCAAGAAGTTTGCAAGGCTGTCTGTCCATCAAGGTTCATATAATTTGCTCATTGAAATGGATGCCTTGATCACTACAGACTGTGGAAGGTAAACCTCAAGTGGAAAACACATTTTCTAGTACTTCCTTTGTCACATGAGGGCATCAGCCTTGTGGCAGGGGGAAGCTTCAACCCATCCAGAAAACACATACAACAAGCAAAGCATATTGATAACCCAAACTAAGTGGCAGTCGAATGAAGTCTAGCTTAAATGCACTAGGAAGGATGAAGGAATGCAAACAACAACAACAACAAAATGCCAGGGAGCCTGAAAGAACCTAGCAGCCCTTTGGGGTTTCCCATAGCACTGACTACTCATTTAATTTACAGCCATTGTTTTCCCATCTTAATTTCTCTGATTCAGAAGCAGATTATTGCCAAGTTACAAGAACATCAGGATGGCAAAAGTCTGGCAGTGAGGGGTAATTTTTGTAAAAACAGAATGGACTTCATCCACATATGCCACAATCTGATATTCAGGTTCAGTCATTTTAGTATGTCCCTTAATTTTAACATCAGGTATCTTATGTCAGGACATCTCAGATTTCCAGCAATATATTTCTGGAAACATATTTCCAGATATATATTTCCACATATATTTCTGGAACATTTATAACATATATAAACACAACAGAAAGAAGACTCAATGTTATTATTATTTTTTTAAACTTTTTTTTTTTTAAGATTTTTATTGGGGAATTGGGGGGATGGGAACAGTGCTGGGGAATTGAGGGAAGGGGAACAGACAAGTTGCTGTCCTTTTGTTCTTCAGTCTAGTTGTGGAGGATGTTGCTTCACTGGCCCAAGTTGGCACCATCATTGCGCTCTTCCTGGGCGAGGCAAATCAGTCACCGGCTTCTGGACAGCTGCTCACTGCGGCTGCTGGCTGCTCACACTGGCTGCTCTCGCTGGCTGCTGGCTACATATGGTAGCCCATGGCAACCCACTGCCACAGGGGCTGCAGCCTACGCCGTCGCCAGTGACTCACGGCCCCCCAGCTCCAGGTTGAGCTGTTGTTCAACATCTTAGCTGTAGAGGGCAGTGTCACTGGCCCTCATATGTGGGATCCGAACTGGGGCCCTCTGGCGTCCCAAGCCAGTTCTTAACCATTGTGCCACTCGGCTGGCCGCAATGTTATTTATTTGACATTGTTTCCCATGTAATTTCAGCACACCAAAAATAAGCCTAATTAATTTAAATTTCTCTTTGGTAGAGAGAGAAAACTAACTTTTTGAGGTGTTCCAAAGGCCCTTCTGAAATACCTCAAAGTTATTCTCAGGTCAAAGTTGTATTTATAATTTAAAGTTTGGGAAGTTTGTCAAAATATATCAAGAGGTTTAGATATTTGGCTAAATAGGTCGTATGTCATTATGAAGCAATACTGAATTATCCACTTAACCAAAGTGAAAATAGAAGATTTTAAACACAAATACAGAATTTTACATAATTATTAGCAGAACTTAGTTCTTACTAATGAGGAAATTCAGTTTTCTTAAGTAATCAAGGACCTGGTAAAGGCAATGTAAACCACAGAACATTATTTTGAAAAAGCAGAATCTTTGCTTTTTAGGTAGAAAACTTTTTCACAATATCAGTAGCAGGCCAACAGTGCTTTTAGCAGAAAGAGAAAACCAAACTCTAATTTTGCATCACCTTACTTTTGATATTTAAATTTACTTACTTAATTAAATTTATTTCAATCTTATTCAGCTTGACCTCATGTAAAATTTTCTTTTTCTCAAGATACCTTTTTCCCAAACCTTCTACAACTTTCCTTTTTACAATCAGATTTTTGTCCTGTTTTTCCTCTTTCCCATTCTGAAACAACCAGCCTTACTTTAGGACAAAATTAATTTTCTTTCCTTCAAAAATATGTCTCCATATCTCACATATTTTCATTTTAAA